CTGAATGGGTGAAGAATGAAAACTATCTCTATATACAAATGCTCTGATAGCATACTCCAGAAAACTCCAGAGAATCAAAGATAGAACCAATTCAGACAATAAAAGATTTCAGTGGTGTAACAGGATACAAAAATTAATGTTAAAAAAAATGAATAGCCTTTAATATATACGAACACTAAAGAGCATTATGGTAGTGAAAAACTCATTTACAATAGCAATAAAAAAGATACTTCAGAGTAAATTTAACAAGGAATGTGCAAAACCTATGTGAGGAAAAATTGTAAATACATCAGAGAAAAATAAAGACATGAACAAATGGAAAGACAACTTTCCCTATTCTTGGATAGGATGACTCAAAATTACAGTTCTATCAGTTCTTCATAAGTTAATTTATAAATTTAAAGCAGTCTCAATAAAAATACCAACAAGCTATGTTATGGCATATACAACTTGATACTACCATGGAAAAATGAACATTCAAGAAAAGCTAGGAAAACATTGAAAAAGAAAAACTATGAAGGACTAGGCTTACCAGGCATTAAAACATACTATAAGCCTCTATAATTAAGGCAGTGTGATACTGGTGCACGAATAGATATAGACCAGTGGAATAGAATAGGAAGATAAGAATTAGACCCACATCGGTATAATTTAGTATATGACAAAGATGGTTGCTGAAATCACTGAGGTAAAGGTTAACTTTTTAATAAATGGTGCTGAGGAAACTGGGTGGCCATTTAGAAAAAGACAAAATTAGATCCATATCTCACAACAAATAAAAGAAAAAACTCCAAATGAATTAAGAATCTAAATGTAAAAAATAAAACCGTACAACTACTAGGAAGAAACATAGATGAATTCCTCTTTAATCTTGGTGTAGGGAAAGGCTTTCTTACTATTACTCAGAATCCAGAGGCAGTAAAAAACAAGACTGATAAATTTATTATAGAAAAATAAAATTTTGAATGACCAGAAACACTGTAAACTAAGTCAAAAGACAATTTAGAGGGAATATTTGCAACATACACCTTAGACAAACGGCTAATATTCCTAATATAGAGAGAACTCTTAAAAATTGAGCAACAAAGGACCTAATGGGAAAATAGGAAATAGACGTGAGAAATTAAAATTAAAACTACATAGAGACATCATTTCCCACCTATCAGATTGGCAAACATTAAAAAATATGACAACTCGTTGTTTACTGTTGGAGACAAGGAGATCACTTAGATTACAGCAAAACCCAACTCTAAATATCTCCTCACCAACTGTTGGTGAGGCTGTGGGGAAACAGGCTCTCTTATACGTTGCTGGTGGGAATCAAAATTGCTACAACCCTTCTGGAGGGACATTTGGCAATAACTAACAAAATTACATATGTACTTAGCTTTCAATCCATCAAGCGTACTTTTAGGAATCTATCCTGAAGATACAACTACAGCAATATGAAAATACATATATATGTACAAGGTTATTTATTGGAATATTGTTGTAATTGCAAGACATTGGAAAAAAATTGAAATGCCCATACATACCAGAATGGTTGATTAAATTATACTACATTCACATACTGGAATACTATGTGGCTGTAAAAAAAAAATGAAAAAGAATTCTATGAACTGTTACGAAATGATTTCCAGGACATACTGTTACATGAAAAACACTTAGCAAGTATGTGTAGTATGCTCTCTTTTGTGTAAAAAAGAAGGGAGGAATAAGAAAATACACATGTAACTCCTCATTTGTGCAAAAAAAATGCAGGAAGGATAAACTAGAAACTAAAGAAATTGGTTACCTACAGGGTATAAATCAATTTGGCTAGTTTTTTTTTTTTTTTTGCAAGTAGTTACAACTCGAGAGCATTCTTACTTCTGATCAATATATTGTGCTTTTATTTATATGTGCAATTATCTGTTCTTTCCTCATTATTGTGGGGTGTTATGTATTTTACAAACCTAGTCTTGATGATGTGACACGATATAAATTTATCTTAAATATTATTAAATTAAATATTGTTAAGTTAAATATATAATGAAAGGTTAACACAACATTTCCATGAAGTAGACTATTTTGTTTGGAATCTAAATAATCAGATGTTTCTGTACAAATTTTTATGAAGCCTGGATAAGTAAATATTTTCATATCAGGGTTCTTTTTTTCCAAAAAGCTCTATGTTGTAGACAAAGAATGAAGCCCAGAGAAGTTAGGTACAAGTTCCCAGAACTCATTATTGACAAAGCCAGAATCTGAACCTAGCTCTTCTGATTCCAGAAGTGCTGGCAATATTGTGAAAGAGGAACCCGGAGATCAGGTGAATAAATTGGAGTGTGGAAGGAGATATTTAGAGTTGGGTTTTGCTGTAATCTAAGTGATCTCCTTGTCTCCACTTTTCCCCTCTTCCTCTCATTCATCTTTCATACTGTCTGTTCTTTTCTCCTATGCTCATTATCTTTGTTAGTGATACCACCATTGTTTTATAAAATTCATTTAGGAATTGAGTAATCTTAATTAGAATAGACCTCATGTACACATCAGGTTCTAAAAACTTTAAAACATTTGTTTTTATCCATCCACTCAGCTGTGCTAGAAATCTTGATGTCGTCTTTCATCTTTTGTTTACCCTCCACATCTAATTTGGATTTTACCTCTGAACCATTTCACAGATCTATCACCCTTTTACCCTTCATGCAGTCTTGCCTCGTTTCCAATGCTCATCATCTCCTGCTGGATGTGACTAGCCTCCCTAATTCTTCCTACTCACTTCTTACTCTCTATTCTGTGAAAATTGATTCCTCTACATTAAAGGGTCCATAAACTTGGATGGGAAGACGTTACATCTTTATTTTCACAAATTGCTAACTGAAACTTGGCATTTCCTTCCATTATGAATAAGGCAACAATCAACAGTAATATTAGCAGTACTTGTGACTTGGTCACCAACAGAAAGTACCTATATTTTCATGTCATGTTGCAGTTGTTGAAGATAACTTGAATATCATTTATGCCCATCACTACTTTGAAATTACAGTAGTTGTTACATACTCTGCTCTATCTTGTTATTTAATGTATTAATGAGGTAAATTATGTCAGTTTTAAAAATATTTTGTTTACTATATTTATAATTGGTTTTGCAACTCTATTTCATTTTATGCATTTAAAAAGCATTCTATAATAAAAATTTTCTAAAATTAAATAATGGTAATAGTTGCACAACTTTGTGAAATACTAGACAAACACTGAATTGTACATTTTAATATTCTTTTTTTTTGCTGAGGAAGATTTGCCCTGAGCTAACATTTGTTGCCTATCTTCCTTTTTTTTTCACTTGAGGAAGATTTGCCCTCAGCTAACATCTGTGCCAGTCTTTCTCTATTTTAAATGTGGGTCGCTGCCACAGCATGGCTGCTGATGAATGGTGTAGGTCCTTGCTTGGGAACCAAACCCGTGCTGCCGAGCAGAGCGCGCCAAACTTAACCAGTAGGCCATGGGGCCAGCCCCTGAATGGTACATTTTAAAAGAGTGAATTTTATGTATATGAATTATATGTCAATAAAGCTGTTATAAAAATATTATTCTGATAATGGGTCTACGTGCTTCCTCAGACTACTGAAAGCATTTATGGTACATAAAGGATTACAAATCTCTTCTGTTCACCTGGAAATATACCCCCTCTCCCAATTACTACGTAGAAAACTCTTAGACATTTTTCCAAAACCCAGCTCAAATATTCCCTCAATAAAGCCTCTTCCAAGTTCCCTGGGCAGTTGTTTTGTATGTTCTTAGGAATGCTTACATGTGACTCTTATATCATAAGCCCAGTGTTTGTTATTGACTATCTCTAGGTTGAGAATTCCTTCAGTGCTGGGATCATGACATGATATGTCTTTGTATCCCCAGCACCTGGTATAACGTCTGGTACATAGTGGATGGTCTACTGATGAGTGGGTGAATAATGAGGCTTTAGTGTGGCGTTAGAAATATTACAGGATGAGAATGTTACTGGGAGAAGGAAGGAAGAATCATTTGTTTTTTCCTACTGAAATCAGTTAACAGACTCTGCCTTCTAAAAAGTATTTAAGTATTTTTTGCTAAGATCTTATTTTGGTCAACAATCAACATATATTCAAACATACCTCCCTCTCCTTCAGGGAAATTAAAATTTAATCAGTAAAACTCATCAATCTGTACATCAAAATGTGTACATTTTATTGTGTGTAATGTATATTTCAATAAAAAATGAGAAAAAAATTTGAGACAGGAAAGAGAAAGACATCTAAATGGCATAATGACTGAAGAATTAAATGACGGATCTAACAATCAAGAGAAAGATTACAATGTAGCACATACTCCAATGCCAATGAGAGAGATGCAAGCTCTTTAAGTTCAGGGCAGGGAGAAATCATGGAAGCCTAGAGTGGTTGTTATTCTTTGTAGTCTTTGGATAGATACAGAGGAGGATGACAGCATTGCAGCCAGTGAAAATGGTGAGGACGGAGGCTCAGAAATGGGAAAGAATAAGGCATGTTCAGGGAAAGAGCCAGTTAGGCGACTCTTAGAGTATTTCGGTTGTGAAATGCTAACAGTCTTGAGGAAGAGTAGCAGTGATTGGGATAATTGGGGAAGACGTGATCAAATCAGACTCCAGGGATTAGGGAAGCGATTGGATATAACAGGGTAATGGAGGAGTCAAAAAATAACTGAAATGTTGATCTTGGTTAATTGGTGGAAAAACGATATTATTAATAAAATAGAGAAGTAAGGGAACCGGACAAGTTTTTTGGAGATGGTAAATAATTCCATTTCTGTTGGTTAAAAATATTAAGCTTATTTTTGCATCTAAACTGATTCAAGAATAAGCTACCTGTTTTGTAGAAATGAAATCATGTTTTACATTTAATCACACTTTACAACATAAAGTACAGTTCTAAGAAAATATTGTGTTGTCAATAAAATATAATTTTTCTATCTTTTCTATGTGTATGTGTTTTTTTCTTTCTTAGATTCCAGTATAGTTAATGATGTTGTACTTCAAGACTTACTGGCATATGTGTCTTCGAAACATTCCTATCTCAAAGATCTTCCTCGGAGGCAGCCTCAGAAAGTAAACAGTATAGAATTTGTAGAATTGGAGGAGCTTCAGCCTGACGTTTTAGTCCATGCAGTAGTAAGAATTGTTGATATCACTATACTGACAGGTAAACGTTTTCGGCACCTCCTCAATTTTCGATTATAAAAAAATTAAGATACAAGACTGTCTTAGTGTACCATTTAGTTATCTATTTGTGCAATTTGGTTATCACTATGTATTTATCATTAGACATTGAAGTATGATATCAGGTGTGATAGAGTAATGCCAACTAAAATATCCCTTTTTCTTTTCCAGAGGCATTATACAGTTACAGAGGACAGAAGCAAAGGAAAGTTATGTTAACAGTGGAACAGGCCCAAGGTCAACATTATGTGCTTGTATTATGGGGTGCTGGAGCAGCCTGGTACCCTCAACTTCAAAGGAAAAAAGGTAAATACACCACAAAGCATTTAATCTATTTATAGTTAGGTAAATGATTAATGCTTATGAGCCCAAGATGAAGAGAATGTTAAGACATTAGACTACGTGATTAAATATTTTTCTGCAGATGTCTTCTAAGTTTATATCTCCCATAAACAATTCAGTGATCTAAAAAGTCCTCTGTAATTAATGCTGGCAAAATAAAAGCTTCCATTTATTCCCAGGTATACTACTTTACCTTTTTTAGTGAAGATCTTATCTCCTTCAAATAATGTTGTTTAAAAATTTAATTCTGCAGGAGCTTCTATAATTTTTATTCAGCCAAAGGACTCTGATAAATAAACTTCTGTCTAGTTATAAGGCAGATGTTAGGAGAGTTGCATTAACTCTTTCAAGTCGCAATGTTACTGTTTAATAAATTACTGTGTGTTCCAGGTTTTTATTCCAGTTGTTTTAAAAGTGTGGACTATTAGCCATCCATAATATTCATGTTTAAAATACGACCCATGATTACATTTTTCTTTAAAGCATAAGTTAATAATTGTGATGTACTGAATTAAATGGAATTGATGTTTCAATAAAATAGTATAATATCTTCCTTTTGAGATTGTGAGATCCTTCAGTTGTAACGGAGATAGTTTAGTGGTGTATGAGTTATTTTACCCTGCTAAATTAATTCAGAGATTAAGTGTGTGACCCATTCTTTTTTACTCGAAAGAGTTAATGTCTCTTCCCAAACTTCTATCTACAAAATAGTCATCTAAAGATAGGCTCTGTCTCATTGTCTCTCTTAATGATTAATAGCCTATAACTAGGAGATTTGAGATAAATCTGACTTTTGACTTTTATGTTAGGATCAAACAGCGACAAATATTTGTTTGGTTGAGAAATCTGACAAACATGTATCAATGATAGAGTAACCATCATTATTGACCCCCATTATCATAGCCGGGATCATGAGCCTGGTGCATGCAGGACAAAATGTAGGTCAAAGGTGTTGTTCCAATTACAGTGGAGTTGTAGCAAAGCCGCTTGCTCCATGCTTAATATGGAGCAAAATTAATAGTTATTTGGTTAATAGAAGAGAAATTGTAGTTGTTTCTAGATAATTCTGTGGTATTTAGGTTAATATTGAAAATTTATGAATCGAGGAATTAAGATGTAATTGTTCTTTGTTCATTCATTCATTCAGCAGCTTTTATTTATAACCATTGTTTTTAAGTTTTCATATCCATCTCAATACATCTAGATCATTCTTTTTAAAATCGGGAAATACCAGTTTTGAAGGATGATCTAAGTAGTGATTCTACTTTCAGAAATTGTTAGCATTCTATCTGTTCATTTACTATCTCTTGAGGCATTCTTTGTACTAATCTCTTGAGGCATTCTTTGTACTAATTCTATGTACTAACCTTTGTACTAACAAGTAAAACGTGGGCACTGGTTTTACTTGTTCCTGAGGATAACAAACACACCTTTAGGTGATATAATCAGAAATGATCATCAAGCAGTCATTATTGAATACTGGAGTTAATAGAGTTGATGTTTTTGGGAAGAACAATAAGAAATCCCAAATTCACGTTCTTTTGGAATATGCATTGCTGGTAGGAATTTGGTGTGCCTCATATGAAGCAAGTGTTGGTCACAGTTTGTGTCCTAATGAGGGTGGACTAGGCACATAAAATATCCTTCTTAGAAATAATTTGGTATGCATAAAATAAGCTGTTCAGAATTAAATGTCATTCCAATGCAATATCCTCCTGAAATTATTTCATAGAAGTCTAATATTTTAAAAATATAACATTATAATAAAGTACTCTCATGACATTACTAATTAAGCACAGAGTAAGGCAAATAATCCCAACATTTGTGATTATACTTCATACACAATCATAGTTATATCTGCATGAAGGTTTGAAATCCATTTATAGCCTTAATTGATGATTCAAATATAGAAATGTGTCACAAATTGTCTCAGTATCAGTCTCCTTCAGACTCACTGGCCTAACCTGCATACGACTCCTTTCTGTTACTTGAACATGCCAGTCTTTTTCCTGCCTTAGGATCTTGAATTTACGTTTCCTCTGCCTAGAGTTCTTTATCTTCCAACTCTCCCACGTGGATAGCTTCTCCATCTCTCAGCTCCAATTTCATAATCTCTGAGAGGCCTCACGCACGTATGTACATAATCACCCTCTATCAGATCACTCTTTGTATTCCATTCCTACTGCTTAACATGGTTGAGATTATCTAGCTTATTTGCTTGCTTGATAATTAAGTAATTTTCTCAGTGGATTGTAAACTCTGTGAATACAAGCACCCTGACTGGCTTGTTCACCATGGTATCGCCATCACATAGCACTGTGCCTGCCCTAGTAGATATTTTCTTAGCGAGTGAATGAATGAAGAATAAAATACAGGTCAGGCAACCATTCAGAATTCCCAGTGTCTTTAAGGAGTAAGAGACCCAAGTTTGAGGAGAAAATAACTTTGCTTGTTTCAAAAGATAAGAAAAAAATTGCAAAGTTAAAAATGCACACACATGACGGTTTTGCAATCCCTGGGATGTGTTAAGGAAATATATTTAATCTTGGGCACTGAGGGCTTGTACTTAGAACTAGAACTCTACTCTGGTTAGCTTATGATTTAGTTCTTTCTAATGATGCTCTGTCTATACAGATTTACTGACTTAAGATTTTCCACACAAAAAATTGTCCATTCAGGAAGTGGGTGGGGGGGTGTGAATTAGACTTATGGCCTGAAGTAAGTGGGAAACTAAAAAGAGAGCTGTTATTGTTAGAAAACTTAGTGCTAAGAGACCTTTTTTTGTTTTATTATGAAGTTGAATTTATTAATATAGAATATGATTATTTGGCAAGAAGATCTGTGCTACTGTGGTTTTAAGAATTAGACTTATTACTGAGGGAATTAAAAATAGGTGGAACTGTATCTAAATGCTTTTGTTGTTCTGGAAAAATTAAGTAAGAAAACTAAGGTGTTGAAAAATCGATGAGAGATATTGATTATGGCAACTGTGTCCATTTCTATGTCATTATTTTCAAAAATCTTTGTAGATATCAAAACAATTTGCTACTCTGAAAAGCAGTTGGTTATGATAAATTATGACTATTTAGGAGACCAAGAAATCTTTAGAAAAAATTTTTGTTAAAATTATCTCTAGCATCCTTATCCTATTGCCTTAATGCAACATTCATATTTTGTCTCTTTATACCCAAATTCCTTAGTGTGATAAAAGTTGTATTTAACTGATTTAATCAGGTAATCTATTTAATTTGATTCTGAGCCTATTTCCTTTTTGGTGACTTTTTGTTTTTATTTGTTTGTTTAAGATTATATTTGGGAATTTAAATATCTTTTTGTTCAGCGCAATTGCATCCTAGAAAACCTAGAACTGCATACAACACCTTGGTCATCCTGTGAGTGCCTGTTTGATGATGATATAAGGGCGATTACATTTAAAGCAAAATTTCAAAAAAGTACGCCCTCCTTTGTGAAGATGTCAGATTTAGCAACACACCTAGAGGATAAGTGTTCAGGTAAGATCTTTATGTACATAAGATATTGCTAGTTTTAATGTAAGCAAAGAAGCTACCATTTGTGGGAAAAATGTGTAATTGAATATAAAAGTGAAGCAATCTTTGTAAATAGCTGAACCAAATGTTGGCATCTCATTAGCTTTTTACCTACAATCCTTTGAGGTTACTTTGTAATTACTAGGGATCACTTAAAATTATTTTTTATAGAAATAGAAAATATTTTATAGAATTATATTTTATAGAAATTATTCTATT